TTGTGCAAGGCGTTCATAAATAATACCTACTTAAATATATTTGTGTAGTATTGTTACGCTTTATTTTATGTTTATTTCATTCCATTAGGAGGCCTTTGCACGCTGTTCATCTCTGCTTTCGCGAGATGATTCTATGAACAATGAGCTCGTCGTTAACGTGTGTTGCCATGTGACAGCATTCTTCACGGTATCCACAAAGTTCCCCGCCTCTCGAGAGTGTATTCATGAGATCCCCCAACTCGTCCGAGATATTGTACGCCTGCTCTATTTCAAGGTCAGTGCACCAATCGCGACTAGCTGAACCATTCGATGCTAATCTGTTGTATTACTAATCCACAGTTGCATTTCTTATGTTGACTTTTAATGCTCGCTGCGAAAATGGTCTGCAGAATTCGACGCTTAATAAGAAATGCTACTTTCCCATACCTACTGTCAACTGTCTGCATAGTTTAAATGAACACCTTATGTTACTTTTATCCCCATAACTAATTGCCCCGCGACAGTTAAGCCTCAGAATGTGCATTACTTCACTTTTTACTCAATATTCGCGTTAATGTGCTGATAGCCAGTTCAGTTGATATGCATTATGTGTTTACCTACTGCACTTTCATCGGTCGTCTTCCATCACTTCTCTTTAAGTCAAAGTCGTCGGCACCCAGGTGTTGCAAAATTACAGGAATCACCCCATTCGTTAAGCACTCTTCTTTTTATCTACTCAAATACAGTTATAGATCACAGACTAGTATGCGTTGGTATTTCAATATTTCCTAGTATGTTATAAGTACCCAGAATAATGTTTCTTAAGCCTAGGATTGAGGGCAGCTGATTTATTTTCAAAATGTTGTGGAAACTTTCAGCCTATTCCCTTCTTCGTTTCCTCTTTTTAGAACCTACCGAGGCTTTGCTCTCAAGCGGCAGCATGCACTGCTGCTTTCTGCGACGACTACTGGCTGTGCGTAAATGTTTATGAAAATGGAGGTCTCTTCCTTCTTTTGAATCACGTATTGGCCTACGACTTTACGCTCGACGAAAGTGGTGTTGAGGCCGACGAGTCAACAAATAGTCAGGTGCGATGTCTTCTATTCCACGTTCTTTTTATTTGAACGTTTTTTTACTTAAAACATAACGGGTCGTATGTTTTGTTTAGCTTATGCTCAACCAGCTCTCTCTGTTGTGCTTATGGGCCTTGAGCCGACTTGCGCGGCAACATGAAGCCAGCTCCACCGGTCCACTGTCATCTGCAGAGGGCGGCACAGTGGAGTTGGCGCTGAATCGTCTAGTCACACCGCACATAACGCGCAAACTCTTGACCTTAGCGGATTTTTCCCAACCAGTCCCCACTGCCACTCTCGGTCCTCTGCTTTCCGAGGGCGGCTTTCTCGACCCCTCCGCTGAGTCTGGTCAAGCTCTGCGGCGGCTGGCCAAGCTGCTGACAACAAATTCGGCCACACCCTGCCTCATCTGGGACAACCAGTGCCGCGCTGAACTTACAGGTCTTGTCGACGAACAAGTGGCCAAGGTTGTTAAAACGGTATGTCTACTTACATCCTATTTCTCTCCCCATCGCACACACAAGGTTGTTCTTGTGAGGGCACATCGAAACTTGTTTGCGCGTTTTTTCAATTGACCAAATCTTAAAAAAAAATTGGTAGGCTTTGGTGAGATTCGAATCCACGCCAGCACAAGGAAGACCGACAGCTCCTACTCTGCCAATACAGGAGGATATGCAAGTTCCAGGAA